GGGTAATCTTTTAATTTAATTTTAAAACATCATTTAATATTAATATTTTTAAAACTGTGTATTTATTGTTTTATGTGTATTTATTTATATATATTGCTGACAATTTTAGATTTTATATTAATTTGATAATTGAAATTATTTTAACTGTCTGACCTTTACCAAATAGAATTTTTAATTTATGCTTAAGCGTGTAGTAATGTGTGTTATGTAATATAAAAAGGAATTAGTATTTCCATAAGCATAATAATGTTTGTTATTTTGTGATAGACTCCATTTGTATAAGGTTCTTACCTCAAAACAAATAAAGATTGATTGATACATAACTCAAATAATTAATTAATTATTCATTATTCGCATAAATAGTACGATTTTTTTAATTTATGTAGAATGATGGATTTATTTGTAATTTAATTAAATGTGCAACTATAATTTTAGTTTAAAGTAATTTTTATTTCTCTCATTGTTTGGTTATTATTATTATTTCGAGTTGGGAAATATACTTAATTTATTTTGGTTGACCTCAGAATGACCCTGAAAACCCCAGATGACCTTGACAATACCGTACACTTTTTTACCACCACTATCCAACAAGCAATCTGGACTGCTTCCTCTCCAAACCAGTCCTCAAGAACTCCTAAAAAAAACAAGTTACCTCAACAACTCATAGACCTAATGCATACCAAACGCCGTGCCATATTATTATGGCAACGTACTAGACACCCCACCGATCGTCAATCTTATAATTATTTTTGCAAAAAAATAAAGATAGAATTGGCCACCTTCAGATCCCAATCCTTCAACTCCTACCTTACTTCCCTCTCTTCTCATGACAATTCCCTATGGAAGACCACTAAACATATCCTAAAACCCCATCATATATCACATCCTCTCCGTCTAGGTGATGGCTCTTGGGCAGCGTCTGACGAAGATAGAGCCGAAGAATTCGCCAAACACCTTTCTCTTACATTCACCTCTCATCCAGAATCCAATCCCACCCACACGTCAACAGTAGAGGAATTCCTTAATTCACCCATCCCACTCTCCTTACCGCCTAAAGCAGTTAATCCTTCTGAGGTCAAATTCCTCTTACAAAAACTACCTACCCGCAAATCACCTGGATACGACCTCCTTACCTCTCAGATCCTTAGACAACTCCCTCCTAAAGCTGTCATATTCCTTACATATACAATAGCATCCTACGAACCACCCACTTTCCTCTTTTCTGGAAACATTCCACTATTATCCTGTTTCCGAAACCAGGCAAACCTCCCAACACCTCAACGTCCTACAGACCAATTAGCCTTCTTCCGATTCTCTCAAAAATCTTTGGAAAGATCCTCCTGAAACGCATCCTACCCTTTATAGAATCCCAAAATTTCCTTCCCATCAGTTCGGATTTCGTTCACAACACTCTACAGTTCAACAAGGACTCCGAGTGCTTGATCATATTTCCGCAGCATTGGAAAGCAAGCAATATTGCTCGGGTGCATTTCTGGACATAGCTCAAGCTTTCGACCGGGTATGGCACGCCGGGCTTCTTTCCAAGCTGAAAAACTATCTATCTCAGTCCTTGTACCTTGTTCTCCGTTAGTACCTCTCAGATCGTACCTTCCGAGTTCGTTGCGGTACTGAATTTTCGCATTGCTATCCAATTGAGGCAGGTGTTCCTCAAGGTAGCGTATTGGGTCCCGTCCTTTACATCCTCTTTAAAGCCGATATCCCAGTCCACCCCGATACCTTCCTGACAACTTTTGCTGATGACACCGCCATTCTATCATCCGACTCAGATCCTGATATAGCATCCTCCCTGATTGAGCACTGGTGTAATAAATGGCGTATTAAAGTAAACGAATCCAAATGCCAACACATCACCTTCATGCTCCGACGCAGTTCCTGTCCACCAGTACACTTTAATTCCATCCAGCTTCCTTTCTCAGACACAGTCCGGTACCTTGGTTTTCTCCTAGACAGACGACTAACGTGGAATCCGCATACTAGACTGAAAAGACAGGAACTTAACCGACGTTATGGCCAGCTATATAGACTACTTAATAGAAAATCTAAACTTTCTATTGAAAACAAACTACTGATCTACAAGACAATATTAAAACCCATCTGGACCTACGGACTAGAACTGTGGGGGACAACCAAATTTTCTAACATCAAACGCATCCAATCCTTTCAATCCAAAGTCCTTCGAACAATAGTCGATGCTCCTTTCTATGTAACCAACAAAACCCTACACCATGACCTTAATATCCCATTTGTCCTCGACCTTATCCCATCAAAAATCTCCAAATTCCACCAGAACCTTACCCATCATCCAAATCCCTTTGCACAATCGCTATCCAGCACCACCCATCTATATAATCCTCCAAGGAGGTTAAAACGGCAGTAGCCCCGCGACCTTTTATAATTTGTAAATATTGGAGTTCTGGCAATGGCCAGATTCTCCACTCACGACATGAGTGTATGTGGCTTAAGCACTCTTGCTCAGTCTCCACTGGGTTTAGCCCCAGTGACGCGGTTGAGAGAGAAGTGCTGGGATCTCCTGGAACCATGCTTTTCCCTCCACACTTGGAGGGACAAGTCTGGTTTGGAGTTCCCTCACCAGATTGTAAATATTGTACATAGGTATGTATGTGTTCTTTTTATTAATTTATTTTTAGGTTATTTTATTCTTATTTATTGTATATATGTTATTTTTCTGTATAATTTATTTTATTTACTGTACATAGAGTGTGAATGTGATCTGTGAACACTATTATAAATGTCCTTGAGATAGATTGTAATATTTTTCAATAAATAAGATTAAAAAAAAAAAAAATATTTTGTGGCATGTTTAATTCATTTTTTTTTCAATATATATATATATATATAAAATTATTGTTATTCGATATTTATTTATCCAATGGATTTTTATTATTTTAACATTTTAAAATTAAAATTAATTAACAAGGCACCAGCTGCCTATGGATAAAGTTGAGCAGATCTGGCTGTTTACATTTGAATAGAAAGTATTTGTAAATGAAATATAAAATCAAATCAGGTTTTCTTAGATAAAAAAAAAGAAAAACAATATATTCATCTAAAAGCATACAGATTTTCCAAGGCTATTAATTATGAGTTATCTCAAATATGTAGAAAGTGGATTGCTTACCTTTTGTTAAATGTGATCCAATTAAACCTATTGATGATTCATTTATCACTTAATAAAAGGGCTCAAGAGTAGCTAGGGAATGAGAAAGAGGCTGATGAAAGTTGAGGATCAGTGAGAGGCATTGGGGCTAATGGGAACGTTTGTATTCAAGGGAATCTTCTTGCCAACCATTGACAGATACGGTTAGGTAAATTACTCGAGATTTCCTTATCCATTGCTGGCTGGAGGCCAAAGTCTGGGAGCCTCAACTTCTTCTTCGCAGATTAACCACTTTGTAACTGTTGTAGAAAGATGAGATTTTTAGTTTCTCCATCAAAAGAGAAATATGCCAATAAAGTACACACTGCCAATTAGGGGACTACGCAGTATGACTACTTTGTCATATTTTTTATATTATATACATATGTAATTTAATTATTTTATATCGTGGCGTTTAGCCAATATGCGTATATGTTATGATGGACAAGGAATATAATAAATAAAATAACATACATTTTATAAAATCTTATTCAAAACAATACAAGAACAATAATTTTCCCGAATTACATATACTGGAAAATACTGGAATCTAATTTCCAAAATGCCAATATATCTCCTTATATAAACTAATATAATAATAGGACATCAGTCATTTAATATTATTGCATCACTCCTATACATGGACAACTTTAACAATGTTCTAAAAATAATACTTGAAGAAATAGCTAGATCTATTTTGATCTAATTTATAAAAATTTAATTAACATAACATTCAAATAATTCTAATTTAAATGTATATATATATATACATTTAATTTGATCTCAGGTACTTTTGAACAGATTAAGGTTTTTATCAATTTTTCATAAAATATAAAACAGTACAAAATATAAAACAACAAACGTCAATATCAGTCTTTGCCTAATAGGAACTTTTTTCAATTTCAGTAATTCACTTTACATCATTTTATAGACGTACATATACATGTATATACTGAAAACAGCCAAACTAAACAATATTTCAGACTAATATCATTTATTGAAAAGAAAAAAGAGCATATAACTATAATAAGTAATGTAAAAATACATGTTCTAAATGAATAGTGGATATAACCAGTACCTAGTAAACCCTTCTTCTTCAGTGGATGAATAAAGAATATATATATATATAACATTATAATACCATAACATTAGCAGGATTCTATTATTTCTTTTATTGTCAGATACTTTTGAACACATTACAGTTAATTTAAATATAAGTTAAAAAAATATGTTTACACATATCTATAATAATATGCAACGTAAATGAATACATTACTATACCAGTTTTTCAAATTTTATTAATTCACTTTTATCATTACAAATATATATCTATATTTTTGAAACAAATTAATTAATACAGGATGTAACGTAAGTAGAGAGAAATATTTAAAAGATTAATTTTAGGCATCAAAGTCTACAAAAAAGTTCATATAAATATGTGTCCAACTTCCAACACAAAAGTAGTAAATTTACGATTTGTGTTTTTTTAAGCGACTAACGTTTTTTGTTGAATATGGAGCTATAGCATAAACAATATTTGATTTGAGTAACTAAACATTGTTTCATAATAAATTAGAAGTTACCGCTTCCTGTTCAACAAACAACGTAACTCGCTTGAAAAAACATAAATTTCCTACTTTTCTGTTAAAAATTGAGCAATTGTTTATTTAAACTTTTTTGTAGACCTTTACGTCTTCTAGCAACCTTTTAAATATTTTTCTCTACTTATGGGACACTCTTTATATTAAACTAAATACAACTTTTTTTATCAAATTGTTCAAATATCAATCAGTTATGTAATTAATGTTATTATATATCTGTATATATATATATGCATATATATATGCAACGATACCTAAGATTTGAAACCAATTAACTTTGCATCAGAGTAGATATTCATATATACCTATAATAACAAACTGTAAAACTAAAAACATATTTTATGTGATTGTTCAAACATCAATCAGTCAAATTATTAAAGCGATATAAGGCGAATTATAAAATATTAAAATTAAAAGAATAATGAGAGGGCTGGGTGAGCCCACCTTTACTATGCCCATTCTTCAGTTATCTTCCAGCCATAAAAATAATAGTAGCAGTCAGGGCAATAGCGAATGTCGCGGGTTTTGGCTCTTTCTTTGTCAACTGGGTAATCACACATCACGCATTTACGAATTCGACCTGTAGATAATATTTATCCTTAATCATATAATTTGTTCTATAACATATTAATTATTGCTAAGTATTAAAATATAATAAAAACGATAAATGGACATTCTTATAGAAAGTTCAAATTAAATCACAGTTTTGCATATTCCTCTTTATTTTCCCAATTCGCTGCTCATCCTTAAGATAGCATTTTAAGCTCTATTCTCTACAGGGTTTATACATCTTATATCCATTCCCATAATAGTCTTCATTCGGGGTGACCACTTCCTCCCGCCCCTCCCACACAAGGTTCAATGGCGCATGAACCTTTTTTTAATTATAAACAACTATCCTCCCTCAACCCTCTATTCCATAATGTGCATCCCAAACTCTTCCTGATTAGCTATTACTCTTCCGAGGCTACGTCGGATGGCTAGGAGACCTCCTTAATTAAAACAGTCATTGAAGTTCCATCAATTCACAAGCCCAATTCTGTTCTAAAAATGTCCCTTAATTGATGGGAAATACTTAAAGAGGAGATATAGTTCATTTTAATAAAAACTGATAGAATTTAACTGCTGTAAAAAAGTTCTGATAGACTGTGGTCCAACTCTATATAGAAAAGTAGGAAAATAAAGTTTTGTTTTTTAAGTGTCACGTCTGTGTTGAATAGGAAGCGGTCACTAAAAAAATATTTAGTTTTGTTAAAACTAATTGTCTTAAAATGCAAGTAGAATTCATCTTCTTTTTATTTATTTTTTTTTATTTTGCTTTTAAACGGCTAAACCACCCTAATCAAAGACTACGTTTCAAAGACGACTTTAGCGCTCTGAGACAGCCTCCAATGGCTCAACACCAGTAACGCGGGTGAGAGAGAAGCTCTGGGATATATTTGAGTTTTGCTTTGCATTTCACACGAGAGTTTCCCAAGGTAAAAGTAAATATTGTATATAAGTGTGAATGTGTGTGACAAAGTATTTTTTTCTCTCTGTTATTCTTGGAATGTATTTTTTATTTTATCATTACTATCCGTTCGTTTTATTGTTGCTTTTTTTTTTTGTTTAAATTTACTTATTTTCTATTATGTTTTCAATTTGTATTTCCCTACAAATATATGGTATAAATATACAAATAGAGCCATAATACCTAATGGCCTTGATTAAGGTAGATTATATTAATATAATCCCAATAAATAAATAATAATTGCTGAGAAAACCACACAAGATTCTGTTTTCATAAAGTTATGGATTATCCGCCATTCGATTTTTCGAACCTCCTATTAGACTACTAATACCCCACTTTTAGAGCTTTCTCCCTTAATTAGCTTTATGTCCATATTAATTAAGTTGTGATTCAAATAATAAGCTGCAATTTTGATTTAAAAAATTGTGAAATTTTATCTGCTCAATTGTAACAATTTTTCTATTAAAAAAGTAATTACCGTAAATCATTATCTTTTTATGATTTATTTATTGTTTTGTAACGGGAGATTTTGTTATGTAGTCTAGTTGAGGTGGTTGATGAAAACATATCAAGAACTATCCACGATTTTATATATATATTTTTTTTTTTTATTTATTAGACATACAATATTCTGTATAAATTAAATATTAAAAAAAAAAGAGCTTAATACTGTTTAGCAACTTAAACACACATTTAAAATGATTTTTACACAACTGAATTCTACTTGCATTTAGAGGAAATCTTGTCTATTTTAGCTTGAAGTAATTGACAGTAACATAAATCAAATAGCTGTTTAATTACCGTTGTCTATTCAACCGAAAATGTAACATTCTACCAAAAAAAAAATAAATAAATAAAACATAAATTTCTTGATTTTTCTGCGTGGAACCAAACCGCATATAGGTTATGTACTAGTCCGTATAGCTAAGGCCACTGTGCATCAGATCAAATTCAAGACAAGATGAATTATTCAATGTGTCGTGTAAACGGTATTATAATATTTACATGTTATAACCAAAACATGATATTGAAAATAGCAAAAGAAAGTAATGATTTCATATAGTAAAATGAGAGAAATAATATTTTTTAAATATATATATATATATATATATATATATATATATATATATATATATATATATATATATATATATTTATCGCGATAAAGTCCAAGTACGTACCACCCATATTACAAGGTTTTTTTTTTTAGGTTTTTAGGCGTTGATATAAAGTGGCACTTCCGGTTAGCCAATTTTGAGGAAAACGTTGCTGTCACATCTAAGGCATATACCTATCTTAAATACGTAATATCAGTTTCGTACGACTTTTCGTTTTTGAGCTAGACTGCTAACATACAAACACACAGACCATTTTTCGGGACTTGATCATTTCGACTCAGGGTACCTCAGTTTATACGTAAGAGAAACTGAGTTTATATTTACCCTTACTATATATTACGTGTATACGTAAGAGAAAGTAAAAAAAAAAATCATGACTCTCTCTCAAAAAAGAAAAAGATCCTGGATTTCCTACTTTTCTGCTGAAAATTTGCCCATTGTTTATATGTAATTGTTTGTAGGTCTTGAGGTATGATAGCAATCCTATGAAAATTTCTCTCTACTTACAGAATATATAAATATATTAAAATATATTGTAGTGGAATCTTCTGTGGAAATGTACCTATGAGTTATAACTGGAAAAAAATCAGGTTGTCTAGAATTTCTCCTAATACCAATCCTTAATTTCCTGGACTAATGTGAACTTCTTGTAGCTGTTAAAGACTAGTACCTCTTCTTTTATTATTTCCTATCATTCTATTATACAACAGACTTTCTGATTGGATTTTTATTTATACAGCTGTATATTTCAGTACAAACAACAAAAGAAAAAATCACATTCTATTGGCTATACTTATTTTTTTATGATAAAGTTTATAATGAACCAAAGGAAATTGTGGATTGAGTATGTGAGTATGAAATGTGCATGTCCTAAGTATTTAATAAATATCGGATTGGTAATTCTTATTCCGGATATTTGATGTAATTTTAGATTTAAATATTGTATATAATACAATAAATAATTTAGAAGATATTGATAATTCGTACCGAAATATTTGGGCAGCAGAATCATATAATACACATCGTAATATATAATATATTGAGAAAAGAAAATTCGTTTATGACAATTTCGACAGATAAATCATCCACTTTCTTATCTTACGGGAACCTTTCGTGAGATCAGCCCTGATGGGGGCCTGAACTTTGGGCTGAAACATCGACAAAAATAAAAAGAAATATAATTTATTTATTTTTACTTTGTATTTTTGACTGAACGCCCCAACAGGCTTCTCTTCAATTCACTTTGATAAACCTCCTAAATCAATCAAAGAATCCAAAGTAGAAAATTTGAAAAGGAATTTTACTTTCATAATGATGTAGAGATAGTTAACCGTGATATAATATTAGAAGTGCGGTCAAATAAATACTAAATTATAGAAATAATATTATTTAATTATAATGCCGACGTATCGACCCACCTTGCAGGTCTACATCAGGGCTGCAAAAGATACAAGGTGAAAATAAAATAAATGAATAATAAAGAAACCCACTTATCAGACAATTTTTTTTTATTTAATATTTACTTATTATTCATTTATTTTATTTTCACATCGTATCTTTTATATTTTGTATCTTTTGTAGCCCTGATGAAGACTTGCAAGGTGGGTCGAAACGTCAGCATTATATTTAAATAATACTATTTCTATAATTTAGTATTCATTTGAATGCACCCCCTCTCCCCCCCCCTCCCGATCAACTCCTCGAATTTTACTTTCAGTCTAAAGAACGAACAAACGCCTGTAATTCTTTAATTTAACATCGGGGCGAAATAATTATGACAACTAAAATATTTCGTTAAAACATCAACCATTCTTCAATGGATTTCTTTGTAATCATTATCTATAAGGGATTATCGTAAAAATAAAATGATTAGGAGGGGAAAGGTAATAATTTTAAGTAACTTAAGTTAAGTTACAACGTTGATTGATGCTACTATTGAAACAACTGTTTTTCCATTGATGCTACTAAATGCATCTATAAACTATGTATCCATAGTTTTATCATCATCTAATTTATTTTATCATTCCTTTCTTGGTCATTCCAATGATCAGAATTTTCGACCAAGTATTTTCTCAATTATTATATATAGCTGAAACAATGAGAACAAAGAAATTCATTTTTCATATGCGGTTGTTTAAGGTGAATTTTTTTTAATATTATACAATGAGGCTGTGTTTTTTTTTATTGGTTTTTTTCACCATATTTATTTTAATTTTCATAGCTACGTTTCGGCCGGTAAATTATAACCCTTATTAGGTTAAGTCAGTTTGTTTTACAAAATTGTATTATATTGGCATAGGTTAAACAGCACCTATGCCAATATAATCTCGAAATTAAAATTTTAATTAAATAAATGTATAATAACAGCCTTTAATAAGTGAGCAATATAAAGAAATATATAACAATGAGCAACCTCCCAACCACACTTTTAATTTAAGACTTTGGACAACATACAAAAAGCATGGTTGAATAAAGTAAGGAAGTTTTAAAATCTAAAATAATTTATATATGTTGATCTTATCTTGATACTTGATACATGTATTTGAATAAAAAAGCAACCTCACTCTATCTAGTGGTATTGTTAATTTACAATTTAACTGGCAGAGTTTATTACAATTGACTTAACCTAATTAGGGTTATAATTTATAGAATATTTAATTGAATATAACCAATACCACCTTCATAGAGTGCAGAATTACATTAAAATACAAAATTAATGGTGTTTATACTATAGACGGCTTACCGGCCGAAACGTAGCTATGAAAATTAAAATTAATATGGTGAAAAAATAAACACAGACTTATTTTATAAAATTCATTTTTGTTATAGTTTGAAGTAAATAAGTACCGGGCGTAAACAAAGTACCTGATCTCTGGGCGCCTCTGCTAGGTCCTGCGGCATTACTCGGCCCTGCTGCTTCATCCAATGTGGCTGGCCTGAAGAACCCTCTAGGCCTCTGCAAATCCCATGGTAGACGAATCTCCTGCTGATATTGAATGTTTCCATAAGCATCAACAGCTTTACTGTAATATTCACCTAAAGAATTTACAAATCTCCCTGGGGGTAGCTCTCCAATAGGTCTGGTAACTTCCATACTATAATTAGTAGCGTCTGATAATTCACATGTATTTGGATAAGACTTTTGTCCCTGCGCTGTTGTTGGGTTATAAGCATTGCCATTTGCATCCGTCAACCCTTGTGGAACCGGATTCGGAGGTTTGTGATAACGCCCATTATGTTGTATTTTATATGCAAGGTATCTCTTCACCGTCGGCGTTAGGTGTGTCCCAGAATCTAACCTTCGCCCAGTTGCAGACGAAGAGATGTTAGTACCAGGAAAAACATCATGACCTTCTATTCCGCTGCTCCATCTTAAAGCCCTGTTCACTTGAGGCCGTCCGCAATTCGGGTCGGCAATCAATTGCGGATAAAAACGATCTGCTACTTTCAATTGTTTCTGTGATATGTGGATAGATGTCGGATTCAAGACGCCTTGCGATGCCTGAACTGAACTGCTACATGAAACAAAATGGAATGGTTTCATATTATTTTTATGTTTATAGTAAATCTTAATAATTTGTTCTTATTCATATTTAAATAAATTTTACATTAATTAATTACATATATATATATATATATATATATATATATATATAACAATAAATACCTGCATTAATAATATCGAAAGCTTACGTACTCACTACACATTTGCATTAAATTAAGGATTTACTGCAACATGAATTAATAAAATTCAAATTGAAAAAAAATCATTAAAATGTGATCGCCACATATTTATTTATCAAAATTACGAAACAATTTTTTTCTGTAATACATACCTCAGAATGATTTCAATGTTTTAATATTTGTTAACGATGACGCATAAATTAAGTACAGGTAAGAATTTGAGGATAAATCATTTTGTTAGGCAAAACATCATAAGAGGATATGACAAAGCCTGGATGAAGCCATGCAAATAAATCAACTCAAAACTGGCATAAGCACTTTTTAGAAATATCTCATTCCAAACATATTACATATACTATTTATCGTTCTATTGTATTATCAGTAAATTAAGACGATGTAATGGTGTGACCTGATGAAAGTAGCAGTAGAATATAAAATATTTTAACTCTAAAATATGCAAATAAAAAAACAATGAAACCCAAGTACACAATTGTCGACTTGATTTTGAATATGAATCAATCTTTAGAAAATATATAATAATAAAATTAAAACATAAAGTTGAGCAAATGAGACATTTTACAGGGACAGAATCCCAAGTTAAATTATTTACTATCAAATTTAAATATATACTTATTTAATTATTGAAGTATGCTCAAATACATAGTGGCCAACGACAAAATTATTTAATTCGCCATGTTCTACATATTTCACAGTAGAAGTAATAACCATTAAATATTTATTGACACACAATAATACAAAAGATGAAAGTAGGAAGGAAAACATACAAAAGAAAAATTTAGATAAAAATTGATTGCTTTGTTCACCTCTAGGATTATTTTATATTTATCATGTTTTTGTTTGTTTTTTTTTTTTTGTTTTTTTTTTACAAAGGTAAAAGGACAATGTCTCCTCATAACTGTTAAAGACGGGAATAGGAGAAGAGAAAAACTTGGCTGCTAAGAAGTAAGGAATGATGGCATTGATATATCGCTGGAGTTGTCTTGGGGCAAAACAAAGTCTAAACTTGCAGACACTTCACTAACTTATAATTAAATAATAATTGAAGAAGTTTAAAATGATAAATCAAGCCTTTAGGGAGGGGAATGCCGTGAGGCGCGATTCATCTTTCGAGTGTGACCAGGGTTGTGGCTATTTGTCCCAATTGCGGGCCCTCTGTATAGAGCTCCCCACACACTTCTACACAATTTATCTGCCTTAGGTCAAGTCTCGAGTCAGCTGCAGGAAAGTATTCTAGCGCTCTGTCTCTTTGAGTCTAATCCAATTCAACTCCCCCCTTGCAATAAGTCAACCTCTCCTTGCCCTGGCTCTACCAGCTCGTCTTCAATTTATTCCAACCTCCTTAACCTTTCCAACAGGAGGGGAACTTTCTTTTTCATAAAACATAATTTCCTACACCAAACCACGTACCAAGTATCCCGGTACTCGCCGGGGAATATGAAGTATTAAATCCGGTGTACGTGATTTCAGTGACAAGGTAGCCTCCCGAAGGCAGGGGTAAAAAGATAAAGATGAATTTTATTTTCAGAAAAATGAAAAAATAGATTTAATAGCCAAACCCACAGGCGGATCTAGGGGGGAGGCTTTCGGGCTGAAGCCCCCCCCCCCAAAATGGTAAAATATAACCATGTTTTACAGAAAAAAATATTTAAAAAACTATCTGTTAAAGTATTCTTGTTCGTTTAATAACATTTAATAGAGCTTAAAGAACATCTTAAACACCATTTCATATAGGTAGTTAATTTCTATCTTTTTTTTTCTAATTATTTATCTACAATATATTGTATGTAGGTGTTCTTTTTTATAAGGATGAAATTTCTACAAATCAATTTAAAGCCAAAAGTGCTTCTGAAGGGTTTGATGATGAGTGAGGATTCAAGCCAAAACAATAACTATATATGCCTTACCAACAGAGCAGGTAATTCTAGGAAAGCAGCTTTTTACTATCCAATACTTTAGGCAAGTTTCATTCCAAGAATAGATCTCACTTGTATTTACTTCTTCCTTTTGTAATAAATGCGATTTTTGCTTCACACATAATTATTTTCCTTCCTCGTATTTTTCTATTTTAATTAAGTAAAATAAATATCAACACACTATTTATTTTTAGGTTATTTTATTCTTATTTATTGTATATATATTATTTTTCTGTATAATTTATTTTATTTATTGTACATAGAGTGTGAGTGTGATCTCTCAACACTATTATAAATGTCCTTGAGATAGATTGTAATATTTTTCGATAAATAAGTTTTTTTTTTAAATTATTTATCGTTATATGTATATGAAAAAAAAAATCTTTCAGGCTGAAGCCTCTCTCCCCAAATGGTAAAATATAACCATGTTTTACAGAAAAAAATATTTGAAAAACTGTCTGTTAAAGTATTCTTGTTCGTTTAATAACATTTAATAGAGCTTAAAGAACATCATAAACACCATTTCATATAGGTAGTTAATTTCTACATTTTTTTTTCTAATTATTTATCTACAGTATATTGTATGTAGGTATGTATGTGTTCTTTTTATTTATTTATTTTTAGGTTATTTTATTCTGATTTGTATATATATTATTTTTCTGCATAATTTATTGTACATAGAGTGTGAATGTGATCTCTTAACACTATTAATTTTAACTGAATATTTATTTCGAAACACCGAAAATTTATTTTTTTCATCTCAAAGTTTATTTTATGTAAGCATTGTTTTTTTATATTTATAAACTTGACAATATGCTTAAAAAATGCTATATCCTATCCTCCATCCTTGATCATTTTTTTTTTTCCAAAATCCTACTTCCCAACCCTCCATTCATGACTAACATCCTGAATTCCTGTCACATCAATGCACAATCCCTCACTGCACACTAGAATGAATTTCAGGAACAGTTCCTTGATAATTTTTACCACTAATAGCAATATCCGAAACCTAGTTAAAACCTTTTATCCCTTACTCCCAGATTTCCCTACCCAATTATTCCTTCCTACCATTGAAATAGTATAGAAAAGTAAAGTTGTAAATAGTTACTACTGTAAATATCTATATAAATTATTACAGCGTTCTTCATTATTTTTATTTCATGTTTATTTTCAATTTTTAGTTTTTTATTTTTAACTTATCTAAATTAGTAAGCAACTTATAATTTTTTCTATTATTTTTTTTTTATTTTGACTATTTAATTACTGTATATTTTTGTTTATGTATCTCTAAGGCTCCTTAGCCCATATTATTGTCTTTTTATATTATTCTAAAGGGACTCGTCCCAGAATAAATAAAGCATTATTATTATTCCCATTCTTTATTCTCGCTTTGCGGGGTAAGTTTCTGAGGTGGGAGACCAGAAGTCCAGCCACTTCAGATTAATATCTATTACTTTTTAGATATTTAAAATCTTTCGAACAATACGTGCCGTGTCCAAGAGAACTGAGTGTTGAGCCTCTTTCAGCACTTCAAGAGGTAATTTTAATCCCATCGTGCCTGCCATTGTTGTCTTTGGTATCAATCCATTGGAGGATATTATAATTGGAGTGGTGGTAACGTTCCTCAAATGATTATTATTATAAATGTCCTTGAGACAGATTGTAATATTTTTCATTAAATAAGTTTTAAAAAAAAAATTATTTATCGTTATATGTATATTTAAAAAAAAAATCTTTCGGGCTGAAGCTCCCCCCCCCCAAAACAATTAAATCCTGGATCCGCTAGTGGCCTAACCTATTAAATGTACTATTAAGCATGTATTAAAAAGCTCTCCCGTTCCGAAAGAATTAAAAGCGCTTTGCTAACAAAACATTAAATGTAATACGGGTAGTCGTATTTGCTTAGTAATTTTTAGAAAATAAGCAATATTTTGCAAATTGTCATGACTAGAGACAAGATTTTTGTGCAGTAAAAATCCGGAAAAACGGGCAGTAAAAAACTCAAAATGTGCAAAATCGTGCAGTACAAATCCAAAATACGTAAAATTGTGTAATTAACACCTTAAAAAACGTGTAAAATCATCAATATTGTTTAATCTATGACATTAATACATCATGCGATCTTCAGTTAACCGAAAGAAAAAAAAAATTGAAATGTAACATTGAAAATGAAATAATATATTATAATCAACTATTATTATCAAATAATGTAGAGTATTGAAGGTTTGAGAGAATAAATTAAGGCAGGAATTATAGGTGCCTATGTATATATTACATAGATCAGACCAATTTTAGATATATGACTTTTATTAAAAATAATATGAAAACAATAAATGAAATAATATCAGCGATTTCCTATCACCTGACTGATTCATAAGGTGTATAGAACTTTCTCATCAAATTTTTTGTCCTCACATTTCAAATCGGGGTATTTTTATATCCAGATTTTAATTTTTGACGGTAGAATAGATTTTACTTTCACCAATATATTTTTTTTTTTATAAGCATGAAATTTCTACAAATCAATTTGAAGCCAGAAGTGATATTGAAGGGTTTGATGATGGGTGAGGGTTTAAGCCAAAGCAATAACTATAAATGCCTTACCTTATCCAATACTTTAGGCAAGTTCTATTCCAAGAATAGATCTCACTTGTGTTTACTTCTTCCTATTGTAATAAATACGATTTTTGCTTCAAGCAGAATTATTTGCCTTCCTCATATTTTTCTATTTTAATTAATAAATTTAATGTGAACAATTAAGTAAAATAAATATTAACACACTCACATATACATTTGTATTTATAAATCGTCTAATTTAGCACAAAAGTGCAAACATGAGAAATTTAATTTTAAAAAAAAATCAAAATCGTCCAATTTCGTGCAATATAAAATTTAAATATGTTATTAGAGTGCTACCAATGGTTAGTTTCTCAACAAGCGTGTTTCATGTGTTTTATTTCTCTGTTCACATTTACTTGATGTATTCATACTAATACAGTTGTAATTATCATAATAAAAGTTTAAGTTTTTTGAAATATGTTATTACATCAAACCACCTTTACACTTCGCCGTAAACCTATAACCTCCTGTCCTACAGTATCCTTTAATAATACCCCACTTATACCTGTTGAACAAATCCTATACATTGGACTCCACTTGGACAAACGTCTAACTTGGAATCCTCATACCAGATTGAAACGACAAGAAACCGCTAGACGTTTCCGACTACTCCAGCACTTACAAGACAAACGCTCTAAGCTTCCAGTTAATTACAAAAACTCATTATATTGACTACAATAAGACCTATTTGGACTTACGGAGTTGAGCTTAGGGGCTCCACTAACCCATCTAATTCCTCTCGTATCCAATCCTTACAATTCAAAATCCATCGGAAAATCCTGAATGCTCCTTACTTTGTAACCAATAAAATCATCCATAACGACCTTAATGTTCCTTATGTTTCCGATTTGGCCCAATCCAGATACCAATCCTTCCATAATAAACTTCAGAACCATCCGAATCCTCTCATGTCTAACCTTGCTTCCCTTTCTATCCCTGATAACCCTCCGAGGCGTCTGAAAAGAAGATGACCTCGAGATCTCCTATTGTAAATACATTTTTTTTTAGAGTGCTACCAGTGGGTAGTTTCTCAACAAGTGATTTCATGTTATTATTTTCTGTTATCAAATTTTCTAAATGTATTTTATTTATTAATACAGTTGTAAATGTCATAAATAAAATAAATAAATAAATATATATATATATATATATATATATATATATATATATATATATATATATATATATATATATATATATATATATATGTTATTCTACAGGTTCTGAAACGGATATATGTTCGGGTCCGGAGTTTTAACACGCAAGCGAATAAAAAGTGCAATAACATGCAAATCCGGTCTCTAATCATGACAATGAAAATGACAAATCAAAATATTACGGAGAGAGGGGCGAGGGGGGCTTTCAGATTGAAGCTCTCTTCCTAAAATGGTAAAATATAATTATTTCTTATGAAAAAAAAATCAAAAAATTATCTCTAAAAGTGTTATTTTTCGTCAAATTACATTTAATAGCACTACAAGAATCATTTAAACGCCATTGCCTTTAGGTAGTTTCTTTCTTTTTCTTCCCAAGTAATTACTCGGGTAAAGGGAGTATATATTGTGAGTTCCGGCCTATTATGCAAATAGAAGAAAAATAAGAAGAACTCGTATCGATGCTGGTCAACATAATAAGTATTGGACTTATTTTTCAGTAAGATTTAAGAATACCCCATATTCAAATTTAAAATAAGAATAATAATGTGTTAACATGCTTTTATACTATAAAACTTCGGTACTTGTCCATTGGCCGGGCGGGACGAAACCTCCCTTGTTATCTATGTTATCTAAAGTTACCTCCCTCTTCTTATCTCTTAAAACCTTTCAGTTATTACGTTGTTTATTTTTCAGTTATTAAATTCTTTATTTTCGTCAAATTATGGATCTTGTTACATGCTGGGAATTACCTTCTTCAGAAGAACAGGCTATTCAATATTTTCAAAACGTTGGGATAATTGCAAACGTGAAACTGTGTGAAGAACGTCATCAAATGACCTTACATGTATATAATAAGAAATTTTCATCTTTTATATGTATATATGTTGTTAGAGTGTTTTTGTACATGTTCTTTAAGTGTTTTTTATTATTTCATTTTCATCTTTTATATGCATATATGTTGTTTAAGTGTTTTTTTATTATTTCATTTTCATCTTTTATACAAGAAGGCTTATCAGTGCCTTATCAGAATTATTAGGGTTTAGGTTATAAACATTGGCAGATAACAGTCCGTCCCGCCCGGCTAATGGACAAGTACCAAAACTTCTTTTACCCGAAACTGGCCTCATCACAGTAATCTCTATTTTCCTTCCTATCAAGTGGAAACTGGATAACACTGAAATAAAAGCATGTCCTTGTCCAACTAGCGATAAGTAACAGTTTTTTCGAGGTAATAAAATTTCGATTTATCCAGAAAGTACGTAATAAATAATCATAACGGACATTATTGCTCTCCAAAAAGTTTGGTACCTCCTGGCCGTGCTGAAGAGGTTGCCAACCGCTGCTTCAGTCTGTATAAAATCAATGTTTGTATTATTGCCTTATTTTTCTGTCCCTTATAGGACATGCTCTTATAGCATCAAGGTCTCTGGCTGGTATCTCAAGTCTTAAGAGAGAGGATGAGGTAAGAGAAAGTAGACATGAGTATCAAAAGCAGAAAATATAAATAGGGAATGTGGTATGATGAATGGTCTGTAAATTGAAGCAGTGGCGATAGCCATCAGTCACCGGGGCCACATGGCACACGCTGCCGGTGGACAGCCCCCCTCCCCCTCCAGGGCTCCCCCCTCACCCTCTGCTCCATCACCTCCCTTATCAATTCCATTCCAAAACCAGCCACCGCTGGCCCCTCAAAGAATCAGCATAGCATGTCTTTTGAAATGGCTTCGTCTTTTTTCCCCTTTTCGGTATTGTTACTTCTTCGAAAGGCAAGCAGGTTTCCCAGAAACCTAAGACAACGCCTAAATAACAGTAAAGTTACTTGGAAGATATGTGGAATTCATATTTTAGATATAGCATTTCCAAGTCAATTTCAATCTTTTCCAAGTCAAATTCAACCTTTTCCATTTCAAATTAAACCTTTTCCATTTCAAATTCAACTTTTTTTTATTTATTTAATTATTTTTAATTTTTCGATGTGTGGGTCAGTTATCGTATGAGTAGTTTTTGAAATTAACATCTATTTTAAGATTACACCACTCCGTTTCGATTTATTTAAGTTTTTCGAATTTATTTGATATTAGGGTCTACTTCATATGTTTCCGGACCGTAAATTTTGAAAATGACCTCCATTCTAAGACTACACCACTGCTTTTCGACTTATTTAAGTTTTTCTAATTTATTCGATATTAGGCTCTGCTTCTATGTTTCCGGAGCCGTAGATTTTTAAAATTACCTCCATTTTAACATTAAACCACTGCGTTTTTACTTATTTAATTTTTTCGAATTTATCCAATATAAAGGTTTACTTTTATGTTTCTGGAGCCGTAGATTTTGAAAATGGCCCCATTTTAAGATTATGCCACTGTGTTTTGGATTATTTAAGTTTTTCGTATGAATAGTTCCTAAAGTGGCCTTCATTTCGAAAAAAATCAAAAATTCGGAAGTTGAATTTGAAATGGAAAAGGTTGAATTTGAAATGGAATAGGTTGAATTTGATTTGGAAAAGGTTGAAATTGACTTGGAAATGCTATATATTTTGTATAGTATATAAAATTGTATTTGTCTTGTAATCACTGCGTAGTGGGTTGATAACAGGCACAGGTTGTGTACATACAACTCGTGTGAGAAAATATATTGTGTAAAATGGATTGATCACTGCCGTATTCATTTAAAGCTTTTTATTTCTCCTTTTTATGTTTAGTCAAAATATATTTTTCGTTTGTCATTCATTTTCTTATTTTATTTTTGTCTGGTATTTCTCACATTAGTCAGTGACAAATCCTCTAACC